CGAGTCTGGCTGGTAGCCCAGACCCCAGCTCACTTTCCCCCAGTTAGTACACATCTGTCACTCGTCTCTGGACCGGGTGACTGCAGGATGGATGAGGGTGGATCTCACTCCCCCTTGGGCCTGGCACCTAGGACCAGAGCACTTCTTCTTTTTTTTTTAAATCTTTATTGTGAAAGTATTACATGTGTCTCCTTTTTCCCCCATCGACCCTCTTCAGCCCCCTCTCTCCGCCCCCCCACCCCAGCCCTCCCCACCCCACTGTCTGCGTCCACGGGTTATGCATATGTGCCCGCAGGGCCCGGAGGCCTTCTCAGACCACTGCCCTCTCCCCTAGAGCCCATGCCGGACAACCAGATGGTCATCATCATCGCCGTCGTGTCGGTGCTGCTGCTGCTGTTTGTGGCGTCCGTCCTGCTGTGCTTTGTCTTCGGCCAGCAGTGGCACCAGAGGCGGAGAGGCAATTACGGGGTACAAGCCGCGTGGAGGAGGCTGAGACGCTCCTACCGGGCATAGCCTGCGGGGGGCGTGGCCCCGGCCCCGGCAGCCACTGGAACTCAGTGTGGCTCTCAGCGATGTGGCCCTGCCACGGCAGAAGGACAGTGACGAGCCGCAGAGGACTTGGGGGACAGTTCCTTTTCCAGTCTGAATACAAACGCCTGGACCTAACCCCATGCCTCGTGTCTCCTCCTGGGAGAGTGCTCAGCGGCCGGGAAGGTGACTCATCGGCCGACACTTCTCTCCCTAGAAGCCTCCTCTGTGTCTCTCCACCCTCTGCTTCACAGAGGCCTCGGGCCAGCCCAGTCCTGGGGGGCCCCCATGCTGACCAGCCTCGGCACCGGGCGCCCACCCTCATCGGGCTGAGTGACAAGGGCCTCCTCGGTGGGGTTGGGCGGTGTGCCCTGGCCTGGCCGGGCAGAGACACTCTGTTCCCACATGGCCCTCGGGAACTCGGGCCACTCCCTGTCGGAGCAGGACACGGCAACAGAGCCAGCTTCCTGTTGGTGGAGGGTGGGGGCCCCCAGGGAGCTGGCGCAGCTCCAGGACCCTCCCAGTCAGGATTCTCCCACATCTTGGCCTTTACAGAGCTGTGGACAACAAAATCGATCTTCTCTCACCTCCTGCTCCATTATTAGGCCAAGCGGAGACCCCGCAGCCCTGGCCTACCCAGAGAGAGGGGTGAGGGACTGAGGTCTGGGGGGGCTCGTTCCCAGCCTCCCCCTTGCCCGGGAAGCAAACAGTGGGGCAGAGTTGGGTGTTCATGTGGGTCGAGGGCCTTGAACAGTGAATAACCTAGTGAGCTTACTCCAGAGAAGAGATGGGCTGGCTCAGATCTTAATGGGAAGGAGAGGAGACTGATTCACCCTGGAGGGGAGGGCCTGGTTGGGGTTGGGCAGAGAAGGGCTGTCCGGTGTGGCTGTGAGCACCAGAGGGGCCCTCGGGGGGCTGTATCCAGCCTCGCAGTGCAGCTGGGGTGGGTCCCTGGGCCAGCGTCTGTCTTCATAGTAAGCTCTCAGCATCATAGTAATCTGGGTGGGGGGAGACAGCACCCTCATCTTGACTCCCTCCTGCCTCAGTGGACCCCAAGGAGGGAAAGGGAAGGGGACGGGCCAGTTGCCTGCAGCAGTGATAGCACCCCCGCCCTCAGGGGAACACGACCCCCCTAGCCTCCTGACCCATCCCTAGGCCTGGAGCCTGCTGCCCACACCCCCTGCCCCTACCTGAAGCCGGGGGTACATCCGCACCCACAGTCCCTGTGGCACTGGGGGGTGGGGGCGGGGGCACGGCTCTCCTGAGATGGGGATGAGAAAAGAAATGCCCCCATCAGAAGTGACCTCTGCGGTTTGACCCGCAGCGATCTCCACCCGCCCCAGCCCCAGGGCCTCGCCTCACTTACACCCCCCTTCTCCTGGCAGGAGGGCGCTGCTGGATCCTGGGTGCAGCCTGCAAGGGGGGCTGGTGTGGCGGAGGGGGAAGGAAAGGCGCTGGCCAGGGAGGCAGGAGGCCCAGAGTGGGCGTCGGGCAGGGCAGGTAGTGGTGGTGGAACACCAGAGGCCCTTCCTCCTGGGCTTCCAGCTCCTCTTCCTCCTCACTCTCCTCCTTCGGACCCTCCATGTGGACCTGGGGGTTGCGAGAGGGGGGGGGAGGTGACACAGGGTCAGGCTCTCCCCACCCCCACTCCTCCGTGCCTCTAAATTATTTTTCCAGATCTGCATCATCAACTGGTTCTTGGTATTTGCTACATGTAAGCAGGCACCTTGGAGACATTTTGCAGGTGGGAACCTGAGGCTTGAAGAGCCTGAGCCGATGGTCGAGGTCCCCCAGCTAATGAGAGGCGAGCAGGGACTGGAAGAATCCAGGTTTGACTCCAGAGCTGGGGAGGGGGCCAGGAAGCCGCCCCTGGCCTGCCCCAGGCCCTGGAGCCACTCATCCCAGGGCCGCTGGAGGGCTCTGCCAGCCTGGGTGGTGGACACACCCTCACCTCCAACCATCAAAACCCCATGTGGCTGTCAAGGGCTGGTTCTAAGCAGTGATGGCAAACCTATGACACGCATGTCAGAGGTGACACGCGAACTCATTTTTTTGGTTGATTTTTCTTTGTTAAATGGCATTTAAATATATAAAATGAATATCAAAAATATAAATCTTTGTTTTACGATGGTTGCCAATATCAAAAAATTTCTATATGTGACACGGCACCAGAGTTAAGTTAGGGTTTTTCAAAATGCTGACACGCCGAGCTCAAAAGGTTCGCCATCACTGCTCTAAGGCCACCTGCCCCTCCACGGAGCCCTTCCTCATGCCCAGCCAGGGGGGCACGCGGGCAGGGCACCCCTCCTGTGCCAGCGCAGCCAAAGTTGCCTGGTGTTCATAGTCATTCATTTATTCATCGGCTTCTCAGCAAACATCAGCCCCTAAGTACCAGGCGCCTGCAGGTCCGGGTGCCATGGCGCCCGTCCTCCTGGGCCTGCAGCCCTGGGAGGGACACGCTGCAGGGACGTCTGCTTGAAAACAAGGCCTGCGTGGTCTGGGTTAGGGACCCCAGCCCCAACCCATGGAGACTGGCACAAGGCCTGGCACAGAATCAGTGCCAACCAGACCCAGACGGATCGGTGTGGGCTGACTCCCTGCTCCTTTCACCTGGTCCTTTCTCTCAGGGGACCCCCCAGATGGATCCCACCCCTGGACCTACAGGTGGGCAGCCCCCAGGGTTGGGGGGGAGA